ACTTGGTTTTTGGTGCCTAGGAATGTTACCTTAAATTATAAAATTAATTTCACTATCCTAGCTACAATAGAAATATCCAAAGGCAAACATATATCAGTTATACCAATATATTAATACAATTAATAAATGCTTTATAACTTATAAACATTGTATAACAATATTTGAGCAGTATTTGTATGATAGGTGTGTTTATTGAATATTGATTATGATGATAAATATTTGCTCAATTATTTAATGACAGACACATGCCTTCGCGCATAACTCCAGCGAGACTTCATTGAACCCACGATGACATTCAAAACCATTGAATGTAGGAAATGAGATAATACCGGGTATTCAACATCAACCATAATGTTTTATTATAATTATTTAATAATTATTATCAGTAATGATTCATTGCAAATGCTATATAAATAATATCTTTAAGATAGGCAAGAGCAATATGTTATTTAACTTCTTCTTTCTGGTTTTTTTCTACCGTATAGTAAAGTCAATTTGAAGTTTTATTTTTGTTTTACAATTTAATTAAACAACTCGAGTAAAGTTTATCTGTTTTCAAATACTAAAAATAAAATTAAAGTGCTCTTTAATTTTTATTAGCTTGTTAACAATTAAGTTATTTCTAGATATAAAATTTCTTTACAGTATTACTGCATTACTGTATAGTATTCTTATTTTTATCTCTAATACGTGAAATGTTGAAAGTTTACAACATCTGTACTATTTTATAAATATCTTTCATATAATTTTTATTTCAATTAACATATTATTTTTAAAGTAAGATTAAAGAGAGAGAGAGAGAGAGAGAGAGAGAGAGAGAGAGAGAGAAATTGGCAATAAAATTTGGGTACATAAGGAATATTACTAGTTTCCGTGCGAAATTGATCAGTCCTTGTACACTTCACTGGTCATCTAATTATATTTAAAATAATTACAATATTATGTACGAGTAATTTATAAACTAATTTATTAAATATTAATAATTATAATTTGACTTCAAATTTGACGTAAAGACAGCCGTAAATCTGTTTTGTTTTTGAGTTAATATAAGTTCCGGTTGCTTCAAATTGTCCCTAAAATAAATTGTTAATTAATTAACATTGAATAATGAAGTGATACTAATTTAGCGTAATGAACTTTTGTAGAATATACTGTATTTATTGCCTCATATTATTTACATGACTCCAACCCTCTATGAGAGAATTCTTTTACCATATCTAATGACAAACCTCGAGGAACTTCTTGAACACGTCCCCGACTTCGGGCTTGAAATACAGGACGTATAGTTTGCACATCACAAACCGGTGTTGACCTGTGAGCTAGCCGCTCTTCTAACTCTTCTATAGGAAACATACAGACGGGCGCATGAGTGTTATTAGTATACATGATATTTTATATTAATTACACAAATTGTTTACAAGTAATTTTTTTTCAATTCAATGTCCATCACTAAATTTTACCATGATCCAAATGTTCCAATGCATGGTACGGGCATGAAATATGGGGCTAGTTTAGTTATTTGGGTTACAAACTGTAAATTATCTGCTGGAACGTCTTTCACCACGGTCGCATCTAGATTTACATTTTCGGAACCTATATTGGCATAACATTAATATATTGTATAACTGTTGTTTGTGATTAAATTCAATTCAACCTCGGTAAACTATTGGATGTGGTGAAATTGAGATCGAGTTGAATTTTATATAAGAATCACTGGCACCGCAATCTCTCCATTCAAATTCACAGTTTATTAAATTTGCAAAACATAATAGCATTACAATAATTAATTTCATAATTGGTTTTTATTGATTTTAAAACTCCAATTAATAGAAATTAAATTAAATACTTTTTAAAATCAAATAAACATAAGTTATAGAGTTTTTATGCTGTGGTATAAAATATGATTATCATATTTGTAAAAATATTAAAAATAAAATCATAGGTTTTAATAATATAAATATTACATGAATTGTTATAATTAAACATTAAATTGTTTGTAAAAGTTATCTAAAAACAACGTGTTTAGATTTAAATATTATTAATTAAATACAATATATACAAATTCCTGTGATTTAACACAGATACGGTATATATATATATTTGAAAACATAGGAATTTTGTATATAATATTAAAATTTTTTGCGTAATATTTATACATTGACAAATATTTATTATAAAAATTATTTTGAAATATAAAACTCATATGAATGAAATTTTCAAAATAAAATTCAAAATGAAAATTTGAATAAAATTCCTAACAGAATAAGTCTTAATAACAACACAATGAAGTCATAAAAACAATTATTTTATTAAAAATTAGTGCTAGATAATATAATAATTTTTCAAAAATCACAATAAATATCTTATAATTTTCTCGATAAATTTCTTTGTCTATGTGAAGCCCACACTATATATTAAATAATAGCAAAATATAATAGCATTACAATAATTAATCTCATATTTGGGTTTAATTTGTTTTAAAAGTACAATCAATTAAAATAAAATTAAATAAGTATAAGTAGTCAGCTATTAATATAGTGTTATGCTGTGATACAAAATGTGATTATTATAATTGTTTGTAGAAATTTTTATCACGGCTTTAATCATATTTATAGTGAGTATTATGTAAAAAGCCAACTGGTAATTTTCTGGTTAAAGACAATAATGTGAATTATGGAATATGTTAAGCAGATGCAGGCAATATATTGTATTAAAATAAAAATAGTTCTTTCAATATTTATGATCATCCAACTAATAACTAAACTTTATTCTAATAAATAACATAATTCTCAAAATTGACAAAAAGTATCTTGTAATATAAAACACATAATTATAAATCTGTGGTAAATAATAATATATTATTTAGATACTATTTAATACTATTATGCTATTATACTATTTAATACTATTAATACTACTATGTAATACTAATATTATTTTAAAATTTAAAATTTAGATAAATAAACTAGGTTGGGTAATAGAATATTGCTCCAATTTAGCGTTTAAGTTTGCAAACTGTTAATTTAGTCTACAATACATTCCAATAAAAATAAATTATTTATAAAATTGAATTCTCAAGGATTTGCGATAATTCACTCAAAATTGTGACACAATCTTAAACCAAATACAGTGTTAAATGAGGAAAATTTTTATACAATATCCTAATAGAAATGATAATTTAATGATTTATAAATTTGAGATAAAATTAAAACTGTAAAAGTTATTTTCTAAATAACTTAATGATCTATTTATAACGTATTAAAATTGTTTAATTTGTAACAAATTGACTTAATTTTGATGGCATTGATTCGTCCGCCAAATAACATAGAGTACGTGAAAGTGTTGGTCAAACGGCTGTTCAAACATGAAGTGAAACAAATCAAAGAACTGAATGGAGCCGAAGACAGGAACTATCATTTGGTTACCACTGATTCCCATGAGTTTGTGCTGAAGATTACTAACAGTGAAGAGTCGAGCGAAGTCGGGCTTTTAGGTTAGGTTTGATTCATTTCATTGTTTTTAAACCTTTTTAACCATAACTTTACTAAAACTTTTAAACTTTTTTCGCTCAAAATGTTTAAAACTTTAGACGCCGTCAATGAATTCATACTACACTTACATAAAGCTGGCTTTGAAGTAACAGTTCCTCAGCTAAACACTTGTGGTAAGTATGTATCGTTTGAAACTATTCCCACTCCCGATCACAACAGTCCGGATAATAACCATGAAGTCTATGGCATACGTTTGTTGGCGTATATCAGTGGCCAACTGTTGAGGAATGTGTCCTTTACTCCCTCACTACTCACGGAATGCGGGCGAGTGTTAGCACAAATGACAATCGCACTTCAGGTCTATACCGCTGCCCTACCATTCCTACATTTGTATTCAGCCAATCCATATTTAAATCTGTATTTAACAAATAATATACACAGACTTTTGAGAGTCAAGTGCTGAGAGATGGGCGCCAATCAGCATGGTCACTTCTCAGAGTTCTCGACATACGTCAACATTTAGACGCTGTCCAGAGTGCGACCGATCGGGCGATTGTGTCGGCGGTTTTGGACGAGTTTGAGCGCACAGTTTGGCGCCGTTTGGACTCATTTGAGTACCGCTTCATTCACGGAGATTACAACGAAATGAATATTATTGTCGATAAGGTATCGGATGATCGCGATTATCATGTAAAGGGTGTCATCGACTTTAACGATTGTCAATACGCGCCGCGTGTATTTGATCTGGCTATTTATCTGGCCTATAGTACCCTCATGTTTACCGCCGGACCTCAAATACTGGCCCCCGGTTTTGGTCTGAAGGGCTATTTGGAGTTAATTAAACTTAATGAAAATGAATTCAATGTTTTATTTGTATGTATTTTTTCATTTAAAAAACTTATTCATTATTTTAATTATTGTCATTTACATCAGACTTGTGTAAAGGCCCGACTCTGTCAGTCTCTGGTGCTGTGCGCTCAGGCCTACCATCAAAATCCCACAAATGTATATCATTTATCGTCGGCAAAGACCGGATGGCCGGCTCTCCGAGCGCTGCATGAATGCCAACCACAAGACATACTTCACAAATGGCTTGATATCGATCGTCAAATATAATTGGTTAAAACACTACACTTTTTAATTATTTGATAATTACCTTAGTAGTAGGAGTGCTGTTGAACATAGTTGCGGTTGAACAGACAATTTTTGCGGTTGAACATACCACGTGACTTTTAGCCTAACCAAGCCTACCCAGTGGTTACTATGGCTACCAAAGCTTACTAAGGGTACCCATTTTATTTGGGTCAAGGCTTACCAAGGGTCCGCATATTATTGAGGGCTTACCAAGAGTAGCCCTATTTTTGGAGGCAAGGCTTACCAAGATATACCCCTATTTTGGGAGGGCAAGGCTTACTAACGCTAACCACTGGTTGCTATGGATACTAAAGGGGTGCGGTACAACAGACAAATGGTTACCAAAGCTTACCAAAGGTAGGCATATTATTGGGGCAAGGCTTACCAAGCCTACCCACATTATTGGGGGCAAGGCTTACCAAGCCTACCACTGTTTAGGAGGGCAAGTCTTACCAAGATATACACATTTTAGGCTAACCAAGCCTAACAAAGGGTTGCCATAGTAACCAAAGCTTACCAGGGGGACCAATTTTATTTGGAAAAAGTCTTACCAAGCTAACCAATGCTTGCTGTATAAATGCCATACATCATACTACGTGATAGGTTAGGGTACGACCCACAATGTCTAACCAAGCCTTACCAATGCTTGCCATAGTAAACAAATCTTACCAGCAGTAGCACATGTTAGGGGTGCATTCACATAATACGCAACAAACGCTAACAAAATAATGCCTTTTATAATATATAAATAAAGTAAACAAAATTATATTTAATTGAAAATGTTTATTTAATGAAAAAATTGATACAATAATATTGATATTTAATGAGAATAATAATGAAAACAAGGCCACGTGATTCTAAGCAATGATAATAGATTCCATCGATAACCAGAATTACCGCCATCTCTCGGAAATTGTCTTTATTTTCGAAAATGTCTATCTCTGTACAAGTTTGAATGCTAAACTATAGACACACCATATCAATAACACTGTTATAAATTTCCCAGGGAATGGGCGTTCGACAACGAAAGCATTACAATTGCAAGGAGAGGCTCTGTTTCCACAAAAGCATATAGATCTCAGTTTCGCGGCGCAGTTGGTGCAGAGATGGTTATGACTACAAGTGTAGGTAGGACTTAATGGATCTTGAACAGCCAGCTTTCTCCAAAAGCCGCACAACTGACATTTTCCATAAGCCATTGAGAAACAATTTAATATCAAAAATATTAAAACAACAATGCAATTACATTGAATTGTGAATTTGCAGATCAATAGCTAAGCACAGACTGATAAGTAAAGTTTCTTTTAATAAAAGTCTTAGTGCGTACACAAAGTACGTATTAAACAATTATTTATAAGTTATGTTGACAATTTTTAAATAGTAAATAGATATTGTGCCATAACGTAGCGTTACAAATTTTAATAGTATAGTTATTTTCTTATTAAATATTGATTATTAACCAACTCTATTCAAAAATGGTGATAAATTTTGAAATAACTTTGACTTTAAATATTACAAAAATTGATTTTTGAGTATTGCAATTGTTGTCAAGGCAAAAAATGTCCAAATTCAACTACAAAAAACAACTAATAAATTTGTTTAAAGTATAAAAGTAACCACAAATAAAGACAAAACTTGCTTTACATTTTTTACAATTTTATCCTTAAAATTACATTATATTTCAATGTAACCCCTTACAAAATTTGATCCATAATATTACAAAAGTTGACTTTCAAATATTGCAATTTTTGAAAGGGCAAAATATGTCTAAATTTAAATGCAGAAAACATACAATAATTATCCATAAAGTATAAAATTTAACCTTGTTATAAACAATAAACAAATATTTTTGCATTTTTGTGAGTATTTTGCAAACAATGAAATTTTTTGAAATAGTGCTATAACGCAGCGGTGCGAACAAATTAAATAACAGTGATTTTTGTCAATTAAACTTTATTATATATGGTTTGAGTACAGATATTTCTGTGTTTAACATTGTTTAAAATGTTATAGAAATTAATTGTTAATACAAACGAGTTAATCTAATCATAGCACAGTAGATAGAATATAATCTTCAATGTATTATTAATCATCGTCGGAATCATTTTTATCCCAATTAAATTTTAGACGTTTGTTTGAGGTCTCAGTATCCATGTTTTTTCGTTTATTACTAGTATCGTAGATATTACTGTCAATCTTCTTTGGAATTTCATATAAATAATTATGTTTTCGTTGATTTCTCTGCAAATTATTTGCAGAATCATTCTCGCTAATTTCTGAATTACTGTGGGGTCTTTTATTATTTATATTATTAACATTGTTGTTAAACTTATTTGGAGTTTCTTCGTATAAATTAATATTTTGCTTTACCGGTTGATTAGGATAATTAGATTCACTTATTCTTTCGTTAATTTCTGGAATTGTTAAAGATGCTTCAATATGTGATGAAGGATAATACACAGCCTTATCAACAGGTAGATGATTTACAGCATGATAGGTTTTGACTGCTGTATAAAGCTGTTAATCTAGCTTTAATATTTTCATTAACAATTAAGGTGGGATCAATATTTGATCGATATAATAAATTAATGAATTCATTTTCCCCAACTAATAATCTTTCATTTACCAAACAGTGATTAAGCAGTTGAATTATATCTGTATTTTCGACTGGAACGCCAAGTTCATTAATAATATTAAAATTGTCGTTAAATCCATTATTTAATGCTAATTTTAAGCCAATAATTATTAGTTTTTGAGCCTTATTCAATTCTTTATCCTTATAATGTTGAGATACGGTACTGCCGGTTCCCAGTTGTCCAGAATTTACCATTTCTTCGGGAACAAATCTCATTTTCCTTGAACACATTTACCTTTTCATTTCAATGATTGCATAAGTGTTGCAACAATAGGTATTATCCAAGGAAGAAAGCCACCAGTTTGATGAATTAAATAAGTTTTACGATATTTGTTAGCCTTTGATGTTGATATAGTTTTTATAAGTGGTAAATGCTTTTTAATTAATTTTTTCTGATCTTTATTTAAATCAATATTATCTAAAATAATATTTTTACAAATTTCTTTGATTGTTTTTTGATATATTTCTTGTTTTAACATAAATTTCAAAATGCTTCGCTGTGTTGTTTTATCACGAACTTTTAATGCAAGTTGTAGTTGAACAACACAAATTTTTAAATTGTCAGACATTTTGNTTAATATATAAGTTAATTAAGTACAAATTTATCTATCGCAAAATTGTTAAAATATATCAATAACATCGCGGAATGTTATTAAAAAGAATATTAGGTGGACAATTATTTTACAAAATTAGCAATTTACTTGCGTTCACGTATTATACAATAATATTTAAATTGATATCAATCTCAATAAACGGTTTTATTGGGAAAACATAAACTATAAAAAGTAACGATGAATAACCCTTATATGGACTATTATATTCAGCAAGCAAATAGCGGTTTTGCGGGCTTTCAAAAAGTAGTATTTCAAAAAGGTAATGGGTTTTTTCATATAGGTTTATCAAAAGCTATAAATCCATTGATTATGGGTTTAGGCCCAAAACTTCTTAAACCCAGAGATTCATATATAGCAAATGATAATAAAGTTGGCAAGAAAACACATAAACGTTTAGCAGAATCTGATGAAGATTCAGAACCTAGTGAAGACTCTGGTGAAGAATCGAGTGAAGATTCTGGTGAAGAATCTGGTGAAGAATCGAGTGAAGAATCTGGTGAAGAAAACGGTGTTCCAAATAAAAAAATAATTGGAAGGAAAGCACATAAAAGATTAAGTGAAAAAATTCTTTATAAAAGAAAACGAAAACATTTTATATATTAATAAGGCAGTCAATTATGAGATCGTGTGGATAAACGCATTAAAAATTGTAATGCTCAAAACCCTTTCGTGTATTGCAGGCAAATTTTGTATTAAAAAATTTGTTTTAAGCCAAATTTGGCGCAATTTTACCCAAAAATCACAAAAGGTTATTAAAAGGTTTTTACGTTAAATTATGTTTTGTCAAAATGTCTGACAATTTAAAAATTTGTGTTGTTCAACTACAACTTGCATTAAAAGTTCGTGATAAAACAACACAGCGAAGCATTTTGAAATTTATGTTAAAACAAGAAATATATCAAAAAACAATCAAAGAAATTTGTAAAAATATTATTTTAGATAATATTGATTTAAATAAAGATCAGAAAAAATTAATTAAAAAGCATTTACCACTTATAAAAACTATATCAACATCAAAGGCTAACAAATATCGTAAAACTTATTTAATTCATCAAACTGGTGGCTTTCTTCCTTGGATAATACCTATTGTTGCAACACTTATGCAATCATTGAAATGAAAAGGTAAATGTGTTCAAGGAAAATGAGATTTGTTCCCGAAGAAATGGTAAATTCTGGACAACTGGGAACCGGCAGTACCGTATCTCAACATTATAAGGATAAAGAATTGAATAAGGCTCAAAAACTAATAATTATTGGCTTAAAATTAGCATTAAATAATGGATTTAACGACAATTTTAATATTATTAATGAACTTGGCGTTCCAGTCGAAAATACAGATATAATTCAACTGCTTAATCACTGTTTGGTAAATGAAAGATTATTAGTTGGGGAAAATGAATTCATTAATTTATTATATCGATCAAATATTGATCCCACCTTAATTGTTAATGAAAATATTAAAGCTAGATTAACAGCTTTATACAGCAGTCAAAACCTATCATGCTGTAAATCATCTACCTGTTGATAAGGCTGTGTATTATCC